AGACTTTCAGCAAATTATAGAGACCTAAGCTAGACGAGGAAGTCAAACATATCCAGAAGGCAGCAGTGGCAAACCACTTCTGTAGTGTTTTAAGAAAATGGCATAATCTGTGACTTCACTAGGATTCAGGTCTCAACTTGAAGGAAACTTTATTTTGACACAGCAAAATTATAGCATAAACACTAAAAGAAACCTAGTATATTTTTAAAAAAGAAAAAAAAAACCTTAAAACTTCCCTTCAAAACCTTGCAAGCCCCTATCCCTGCTCCCCAAACGGTTGATCATCACTGTGATCCAGGATTCTGTTTCCTCTTTAATGTGCAAGAACCCTATAAATCCTTTAATGATGAATGTACTGTGTCACCTTACCAAGGGGAGCAAAAATCAGTGCTGAATTGCTGCAATATATATTTGAGGAATGTAAAATAGGAGCATGGTTGACACATACAGTATGATCCACTATTTTTCCCTTCTGTGGAAAATGTATGTGCTCCCACTGAATTCCTCTAATGAAAGGAGCATATAAGTGCTTTCCTCAAGTGTCTGGTGTAAACACGTTGGTTAGTTCCTTTTTGCTACAATAATAAACTCCTGTACTGTCTGAATATAATCCATGGTTTATGCCAGAGGGCAGTTCCACTTGCTGCTTTAATCACAGAGATGAAGCATGAAAGTATCTGATATTAAAGTATATCAAAGGACTGTCTACAATGTGTAAATTATTGTCATTGAGTAGCAATTATTTGAATATTACTTTAATTCATATATTGTTAGATACAAACTGCTTTACTTTGTTTTAGCCAGTGAATGAGCCACGGCTGGCCTTATGGAGTATAAATCTTACTCCCTCAGGTTGTACGGCAGCCATTAATTCCAAGCTAATTACATGTTCAAACTCCATCAGTTCCAAGCAACAACAGTTAAAATCATAGGGTGTAGTAGCAAAATCCCACAAACTTTTATTTCATTTAAGACTCCTTAGGATAAAAGAATATTATTCTAATTCTATCACCAATCCTGGCTTTGAAATGACAGAAAATCTAGCACTTTCTGATTAATTAAAATCACTGTAGCAACTCTAACTTTTACAGTACTATAAAATATATGGCAATATATATCCCTATTGATTTTATCTCCATGTATAATATAATATTTCCAAAGTATTCATGAACTTAGTAATAAGGCAGGTTTGAAAGTCACTTTATGGATAACATTTTGCCTCCCTAAGCTTGCCTGATTGTGAGGAAAACAATGTGCACATTCAAACACATATCAATAAGAATACATGTAGAGATGACAGAGCATGCATTTATCGAAAAAGTATTATATGAGAACAGGGTATTAAAGACCAGGGTATCAGGAGCCTGATTTTCATCCCACTCTAGCAACTCCCCCAAAATGTATGGAGAAAACATGTATCTTTCTATTCTCATTTGATCAGCTTGGAAAGAACACCGTTATCTCTGTTAACATCTATTTGCAACTGGTCTTAG